TAGGAAGACGAATAGAAGTTTCATAGACGAGTTGGAGCTGAAGGAAACGAAAAGACAGAAGGAAAGGAAGGAACGGAAAGGGACGATGGTGGTGGTGGCAAGTTCTTGAAAGAGAGTTTCTTTTAAGCCAATACTATTCCTGTCTAATTCTCTTCATAACTTCTATTAGAAGAGAGTTTGAGAGAGAGAGAGAGGGGAAAGGAAGAGAGAGCTGTTAATGGACACAATAGGAAATGACAAGTTGTTTTTCAACTTATTTTTTAGCTTCTTATCTTTCGCATATAACCTCTCTCTCTCTTTCTGATGTGTTCTTGCCGGCTTCAGCTTCATCTCAATTACTATATGGAGAAAAGAAGAGAGAGGGAGGGAGGGAGGGAGTGAAGAAAAGAAAACTATTAAAATGCATCCTTCTCCTGTTTATCTCTCTCTGTCTCGTAATCATAGAGGTAAAGTATCCCCTCTATCTCTCTCCATATTCATAGAGAGAGAGAGAGAGTGTATGTATGTGTGTTCATCGAATAATATTTTATTTTTATTTCAAACCATCCGACAATTTATGAAAATTTAAGGAGTCAAAGCTCTCAATTGAGCTAATGGAGACAAATGTTGCAAATTGTATTGTGTCAAATAGAAATTAAATTATAAATTTTATAATTATTTGCCGTCAAACACATTCATAATGAAGCTTCTGACACTTTTCTATTCAAATTTCACTCCCATTTTTTATTTTCTTTTTCTCACACACACACACACACAACCACACAACCACACACAAGCAGCAGCACCACCATCACAGTCACATATGGGGATATAGAGAGAGATAGATAGATGGATGGATGTGAGTGTGAGTCTCATCTCTTACTGTGTATGTGTCTGTGTATGTGTCTGTGTATGTGTCTGGGTGTGTGTCTGCAATACGAAAATAACATTTTACCTTCAAAAGACAAATACAGAGGGTTATAAACAATGAATTCATCAACAGAATACCTTCATTCCACATAAAAGCTATGTAAACGTGTCTGTGTGGCTCTCGTATCCATCTCTTCGCTCTCAATCTCCCCTCTCTCTCTCTCTCTCTTCATCTCTCTCTCTCTCTATCTTCTTTCTCTTTTAAAGTTTTTTTTTATATTTTGTTATAAAGAATAGTTAATTAACTTCTTTCTTTTTCTCATATAAGGCAAACAAGCATATGCTCATACACACAGACACACAGACACACTACATACTGCATAATCCACATAAGGCAAAAGCATAAATGGTTGTAGGATGAGGATGATGAGAAGAGCTCTCTTCTTCACTGTTATGACCCAACTACATCTAAGCTGTTAACTCAATCTACTCCAAATTAATATTTGCAACTGCAAAAGAACTTTCAGAAGACGTGTGTTTGACGTCATCTAGCCATTTCATACATGTGTTGAATGCAAAATTGAAAGACAACGATAGAATATGAAAAGAGAGAGTTAGCAAGTAAGCAAATGAGTGAGTGAGTGAGGAAGATGCAGCTTTCTGATGTACAGAATACGTCCTGTGCAGGAGGACAATGCACGTAAGAGTCTACAGATATGATCAAAACAATCTCTCAACGACGAGAATGAAAAAAAGAGGAAAAGAGAGCGTAAGATGAAGATGCAGCATACATCTCTCGTCTTACCCACAACAATGAAATTTGTTTCGAAATTCAATTGAACTCACAAAAGTTAAGGAAGAGGAAGAAGAATTGAATGAAACATCCTGTGTAGGACAATGAGCTGAACGACAGCTTCATGTCCTTTTTTGACCAAAAAAGAAAAAAAAAGGAAAACGTAACACCGCCAACAGGCGAAAACCTCTCTCTCTCTCATCCTTCAGCTCTCTCCCTCTATCTCCCTCTATCTCCCTCTCTCTTTTAAAATGGATGAAAGAGAACATTGAAAAAACATTTAAAAACTTATTTTTCAATAAAAAAAAAAGTTTTTTTTCTCTCCTTTGATGTTGAAATGATGAAAAGCTGAATTGAGAGGAAGGAGAGAACACTTCACTTCGTTCGCTTCATCATCATTGATCATCATCTATGCTCAAATAAGGTCATAAAATCAAATTTTATGTGATATGATGAGATGAAGTGAACCGACAGCGAGCAGCGGAACAGCTTAAGCTCTCTCTGTATGCTTGGCCTGTGGTCGCCTGAAAGTGGTTCGTTTCTCTCTCATTTCATGTTATTCTCTGCTATCCGTCTATTTCTTTCATTCTCTCGAGTTGTTGTACGTGAGTGAGCATCATCTCAATGTTTGGATCAATATAGGCCCTGAGGCTTTATAGATGTTCAAGTCAGAAATAGAAAGATGTGCTTTGTTGTGTGTGTGTGTGTGTGTGTGTGTTGTGTATGTGAGTTCATCTCTCAATGTGTAAGCACGTGTTAGATGAAGATGTATGATATGTGCTATATATTCATTAGTTACTTATAAATAGCATAGTTTATAATTGAATTTTGAGGTTATAAAGAGAGAGGGAGATATAGAGAGAGAGACAGAGAGAGTGAGTCAGTAACTATATGTAACTAGTTAATCCATTAAGCATTCCCCCCATCAAGATCATATTACTTGTCATTTGTATTGAACATTCAATCGCCTTTTACGTCATTGTCTTATCTCATATTCAAATATATAGATTTTTACATTTTTATGCTAATTTACACATAGATTACACGTGAACACACACAATAACACAATGGAGAGTTGGATTGAGGATGAGGAAAGCGTGCGCACTCATTTTGATTTTGATGTTCGCGCTGACCGGTTGCTCTTCACGCACGCTCTCCTCCTTTTTTTGTATTTCGCAATCAACATCCTTCCTCATTCTCATTTCTCTAACAGATTACTTATATGACTGACTGTATACTATTGAGACGTTTACTCATCTTAGCTCTTTACAACTGTTTCATTACAATATTTCTTTTTTTCTCATCTTGACTCTTCCTTTTGTGATGCTTTGGTAGATGCTCATTCAGCTAGCTTCCGTATTTGGTTTCCTCCAGCTCTCTCATCATTGCTGCTTTTAGAGCTTTTTCATCGTTTTGCTCTCATTGACCTACGGCTACCTATGAGTGTTTTGTATAGAGGAGGAATAGCCCATTCAATACATGTTCTTCTTCAAACTATCATTCTATGTTTCACATTGTGTACAACTCTCTGTTCCACATGTCTCCCTACTGTCCCTTCTCTTCCCTTACTCAAACATGCTCTTTCGACTCATAAAGTATTAAGCACAGACCATCATTCATTGCAAATGGCGTTTTCATTAATTTTTCAAGAATTTCCTTTTTTTGTTCCGGCCGTTATCTCATTGTTTGAGTCTCTCTCTCTCTCTCTCTTCTTCCCTCCATCTTCTCTCCTCCCCTCTTTCATTCGTGTGTCCAACAGCAAAGAGGAATTCAATCGTTTGGTACGCCTACAGCCAATTAATGTGACCAGTTTTAACTTTTCAAAGTTTCATTTTTTAATATTATATCTTGTACCGGAAACTTTAACTGTATATTCAGATTATTGATTGTTCGAGCTATACAAGAGACACAGAGAGAGAAAGAGAGGGAGAGAGAGAGACAGAGAAAGATTGCAACAGAGAGAAGGAGAAAGAAAGATTAAAAATGGATGATGGAGAGTAGACAGAGAGAAAGAGATTGGAAGAGTGAAACTCAGCTGATAGGTAAAGACTACAACAAGAGAGATTGAAGCCACAACTCTACACAGTATTTGTCCTGTGCGTCATTCTTTTCACGTTCTCTCTCTCTCTCTTTATGTATTGCTTTTACCTAATTGAAAGAGAGAGAGAGAGAGAGAGAGAGAGGGAGAAAGAGAAAAACTCTTTTTTCCTTTTTATTGAATGAATCAGCTAGATGGCAACTTGAACCGTGTTAGTTCAAACAGTCAATATGTCCTTATACATTGCTTTAACATAATTTCCTTCTCGGCCGAGGACGAATTAAGCCTTTTTCTCTTTTCGCCATCTGCCTGTTCCTCATAACTTTCATTCATTTTCCGTTTTTGTCCATTAGTTCTTCGATACCTTCATGACCTGTTGTTCTCCATAACACAAACATCCATTGCTTCATTGCCTCTCTATACTTCTCTCCCTCTCTCTCTGTACCATGTTTCATAGATGATGATGCCATCTAAACATTCTCTAAAGAACACCTCAGTCATTGACAGCAGTAGACGATGAAAAAACTCTAAGATTCTCATCTGAATCCTTTTCCTGTTTTCCGTTCATCCAAGCACACCAATCGTCGTCTCATCCGCTTTTTTCCATCCAATTCTCCCTCTCATTCGCTTGACAATCTCTGCTAACTGCCGTCTCTCCATTTCGACTCGTAAGACAGCCATTCGAGAATTCACGCACACACACACACACATACACACACCTTCACCATGCCCTGAGGTCATTATCTGCCAATTTCATCAATTCTCTGTTCATTATCTGATTCTCATTTTTCTGACCTTCTTCCCCTTTGTTTTTCTCCTTTTATGACGAAAAGATAAAACGCCAGCCAAATGAGCTTCTTGAGGCTCATTGCAGTCAATGACTTGTCTGGAGAAGAGAAAAATTTGAAATCATAAAAGTTGTTTTTCTCTTGCATTACATCCGATATGAGTTTATCTATTAATTATCGACATTAATGAATTGTTATCATAAACCCCATTTTTCATTCACCAAAGGCCAATAAGCTGTCCACTTGAGCTTTTAACCTGCAATGCTCAGCTCACCCACACACATACTCTCTCTCTCTCTCTTCTTACCTCTACATCTTCTCTCTGAATCCTCTTTTCAGTTCTTTTTTTCGTTCATCTTGTTGTCTCTTAATTGACAACTTCCATAAATGGTTTTGGCCTTCATCTACTCATCTCTACCTTACTCTCTCGTCTTCCATCGTACCTGTCAGTTGTCTTTCTCTTTCTATTTTTCAACTACTTTATTGCCTTATTTGTTTGACACTTTTTTTTATTATGTGCAGTTCAGACTAAATGGGAAACATTGTGCCATCGTTGTCCGAACCATGTCCACCATCCCGACAGGTCAACACCAAATATGGACCGATTATAGGACGACGGCTAATTCATAAAGGAGATCGCCTGGTCAGTAACTAGTTTCACATTTTGTTTTCCCATCCTCTCTTTCAACACATCATCTCACACCTTTTTTTGTTCAACATTTTTGCTTCTTTCTTACATCTCCTTTTCTTATTGAGGTGGATGCCTTTCAAGGAATTCCATTCGCGACACCTCCATTAGGAGAACTAAGATTCAATCGCCCAAAACCACCTGAGTCATGGACTGAAGTGCGAGAAACGAAAAGCTTCGGAGCTAGAAGTATCCAGAAAGATCTTATACCTTTTAGTCGCATGAAGGTATTCATCGTTTGCTTAGGACAAATCTATTGACATGTTTTAAGCTTGGACCAACATCTGAAGATTGTTTGACATTGAATGTTTTTACTCCATGTTGGGAGCCAGAGCAACCTTCAGGATTTCCTGTACTTGTATACATTCATGGCGGAGGCTTTGTAATGGACAGCTGTGTCAAATATGGAGATATTGGAATTTGCAAGAATATAGTAAAACAATGTTCTGATGTAGTAGTAATAGAAGAATCTGTCTAGGTTACTAAAGATATGGTCGTCGTGACAACTCAGTATCGTCTGGGATATCTTGGATTCTTCACAACCGGAGATGATGTCTGTCCTGGCAATAATGCATTGTGGGATATGAAAATGGCTTTGGAATGGGTTCATGTGAGTAACAGCTTCACAGTTTGTTTGTACTTTTTGTATGTTAAAGGATAACATCCGAAACTTCAATGGAGATCCAACCAACATCACCATAATGGGTCAAAGTGCAGGAGGAGATTTCGTAGATTTGCTCTCACTCTCCCCCCATACAAGAGGTAGTTTCATGTATAAGACAATGCTGTCAGACGGACGTGTCATTTTAAGATTTATTCCATAAAGTTATTCCAATGGCTGGCAATGCAAGTGCAGAATGGTCCATATGTAAGAACGCCTCCGAAACTTGTCGCAAGTTTGCTGCAAAACATGGAGTCTCCAACTACTATGATTCAGAAAAGGTGAGTATCACAAGTAACCAGAAGGAGATTATCGTCTTGGCTTCTTAGTTTTTAGAAGATTTACGTAAAGTGCCTGCCCATACTTTCGGATTGACGATAGAAGTTCTCGATGAGTGGATACCTCCAGTTGGACCACGTATAGATGGACACTTCCTACCTAAGCCCGTAAGTAAAGAATTGTTTTCAATGTTTTTGACTTTCAAATGTTCAGCTTGATGAGCTACGTAAGGAAGCACCTATAAAGCCTCGAATGATTGGTTGCTGTCGCTCTGAAGGAGTATTTTTCTGTAAATCTTGATGGATATGAATGAATTGTCTTACAAATGGAATTTCAGTGTTGACAGCGGCCCACATAGGACTGAATCGTCTAGAAGATGTTGCTGGCCAATTAATAACAGAAAAAGACTTCCCGAATGACTTTAAGCAAAAGCGAAAAGCTTATATGGATAGAATAGTTTCAATGGATAAACGCGAGAATTTGACTGCTGAGGAAGTCAGACGAGCTGTAGGCGAAGTAAGCGAATCTCAATCAGAAGTTTATAAACATCTCTATCAATTAAGGGTATTGGTGATCGTTTCTTGAACATTGCTTGTCAGAAAGCAGTATGTGAGTGGCTTAAGCATGGATCGCCTGTCTACTTCTACTCGTACGACTACTTCAATCCTAAAATGTGGGGAATGGTGGGTCTCAGAATGCCATATAAAGGTACTTGAAGATAAGCATTTGGAAAAGCTTATGCTGATTATCAGATTCAACTCATTGTACTGAAATTGCTTATTTGTTTGCTGTTGGCTTAATATCCAGTTTTGAATATACTGAGGAGGATTTGCAAATGTTGGACTACACGACGAGGCTTTGGACGAATTTCTGTAAATATGGGTTGGTATCTCTCTGATGCACATGCTGCTCACCTCTTTTTCTTTGTTTTTCAGTGATCCAAATGGTAAAGATGAAGCTGAATGGCTTCCAGCCACGCTGGAACATCCCCAACGACATTTCCAAATTGATCTACAAAGCACAATGAGTGATGTTTATAAGGTTTACTACCCATAGTATATAGAACAGCTCATCTAATGTTATCAATTCAGAATGGACGACCGATGCTCATATTGGATTTTGAAAAAGAGAAAACCTCATCCCAGCCATAAAGCATAGTGATATACAGTCTAGTAATTCAGCCATCTTTCATGTTTTTCATCAAAACTACATAGTCGAATGTTTCACGTAGAACGTGGAGCATCATTGTTTTATCTTTTTGATATGATATCCAGCAGAGGAGCGGTTGCATTCATTATCCCTCCCTTCTCTCTCTCTATCTCTCTCTATATCTTGTAATTATCTTACCTGCTGATAGTTTTTCTTGAAAATGGCCATCTGTTGGTCACAAAGTCATAAAGAATAATATGATTATTCATTGTTTATCAATCAGTTCACAAACACGGCAGAACCTAATTCATACATAAACAACTTATTCTTATCAACAACCCTATGGTAAACACAAGGTCAATTCTGATATTCAAATGACCATATGAGGATATGTTTTCTGGAGAAATCTGTGAACGATTGCTCCTTACAATTATTGAGAGATAGTCATGTAACTCATGAGCGAACCGTATGTAACGAAAGTGATGGACGAAAATGCTTACTGTTGATAGTTTTTGAGAAGAAAAGAATGAAAAAACAACCGAAGTACTAGAGAAATCGAACAAATTGTAACAAATAATTATTTAATGAGATCCAATCAGTAATCAAACAGAGAATGGCTTGTAGTCCCGAACTTCAATGTGACCATAAATGACTAAAAAAAATTGAAGTAGAAATTATTAAATTCATATTCACCTTGAGCTGATATCATTTCTGAAACATCACTAAACTGTTCAGTATCCTTCCCATCGCAATCGTTACCTTTTGCGATCCCTATAAGAGCCCCATTTCGTCTGTAAAACACGCCGCCACCGCTTCCTGAAAGTCTTCCTGCATCTCCATAGAAAAATTGTTGACGCCCAGTTGACATTGAGGATATGTGGCCGGTTTTGACTGATGGAGTCTTATCAACAAAAGAAAACCCCTGAAAATACAGCAGTACTAATATAAATGGAAATCGTCTCAGTAAGTATACTTAAAATAATTATTTTCTTACCATAACTATATACTGATCGAGAAGCATTGGGTACACAATATCTGGTACATTAACGAAATTTCCAGTATTTCTTTTAAAAACCACATAGTTGGATATGCTATGTACTCCGTGGATGTGAACCTCGTGATGTTGTCCAATGGCATCACAAAGTGTTACGGATAGACCTAATTCTCGAAATCTATCCGGAATATTGTGGAAAGCAGTTACGGCATATTCTTCAGTCAACACGACTGCCGGAATCCAACGGTCATTATGTTCTATGTACATACAATATAATGTTAATTTTTGCATCAACTGTTGGTTGGCGGATTGCTCAAACATCTGAATGCTTCCATTTATCAAATAACTTTAACTACAACATGGAATTATATAGAAATAAATACACATGTCTGGTTCAATAAACATAATTTAAATAAAAATAATTGTAATTAGCTCGTGGGAATGTGCGCCAAATAAGTAGAAGAGAATGAAACATAGGCATTTGCTTATGTTGAACTTCTTACGACGCGACACGCAACGCGTCATGCTAGGTCAGGCTCAACAAAACAACGAGTGATTAGAAGTTTTTTTTATTGTTATTGTTGAATATTATAATAAATAATAGTTTTTTTCAAATTTTTTCTTTTTTTTTATGTTGTTTGAATGAGAAACTTTCAGATGGTCAACCTATTTTTGAACAAGCCGTGGTTACCGAAAGTGTTGTCTGCCTGTTTGTATATTGAGCATGATAGCACTTGGATTTCGGCAGTTGTTATGACAAAGATTTATGCCGTAATAGCATTGCACTGCATTCCGAACGAATTTCGAGAAATCGGTACTAAAGTAGTGCTATGCGATGGAAATGGTCTTGATAACCATTGTCACATCCATGGAATAAACACGAAATCAAACTACGTAGTTTTCAAGAAAGATGAAGGAGAGTTTAGCAATGTTCCACATATTGTATATCCTATGTTGTCGGACCAATATATTGCGGTGGTGAGTAAGTCATAATAAGTTTTATAATAAATATAATTACTAGGACATAAATTTACAAATACTGCTTTCAGGGATTTTCTTTTGAAGAGAAGACACATTCTGTTTGTATCGGAAATATCCGTTCATTTTCGAATGGCGGTGAAGGAATGTTCTACGGGGATTCGGGTGAACTCACTGGATTTAAAGGAGGTGGTGTCTTCTACATGAAAAGTGGTGCTTTAATGGGTATAGCCCGTGGAAGAGACTTGGACGGCAGAGATACACAACGTTACAGGGATGAGCTTGAAGTCATATCAGCTCAAGGTGAGTGAGCTCAATAATATTATTTTGAACTCATTTTTCAGTTATCGGCGGTCACATTGAAATCTTCGACGACAAACCGTTCTCCGTTTAATTATTTTGAATCTCAGTTACTTATTGTGACGACTTGTTCGATCTCTCTTTATCATGTATCATATTTGAATGAATTAAACGTTCGCTATAAGATGAAGCTTTAAAAAACTTTTCTCTCTTTCTTTGATCTTTTCTTCCGATATTTCACTTTCTCAATTTATGTTGAAATTTTTAATCATTTTCTTTGCAGATTACAAAAGACTTTTTTTTAATGGAGAAGAGCCCGGTATGTTGAAATGATGTTTTATTTTATTAGTTGATCAGCTTAATTTTTAGTTTATACTAGTTCGAGGGCACGATCTTATAGTTGAAGTCACGGCTCGAGAAGACAACAGAGTAAGCGAAGATACGCTTAGAGGCGCCTTCCAATTGGAGCAGAATGTTCCTATTGGTCTCTTCGCTAAGAGACGAGCTCTCGAGTAAGTTTTTAAAAGTTTATCATGGTTTGTTTATTAAGATACTGCAATGATGATAAAATCAATTTTTCAGTCGGAACTCCCGGATCGAAACGTGGTTACTCTGGAGCACCTGTTTTGAGTTATGATGGATGTCTGACGGGGATTATACTAGGTAGTACCGCAGGACTGTATTTAGATTCTACTATTCGTGAGTGTTTGGAGTCTGCTGCTGAACAGAAGTATGATTGTATTTTGGGACTGAGCGTCATAGTCTCTCACTATGATAGAGGTTTAGTTTTATTTTTTAAAAAGTAAAATTTATATTGAGTTTTTAGAACGTTCAGACAGTGCAAGTTGAATATAACAAACCATTTTTTGGGTTGCTTTGTTTGTCTTTCTAGGTTGATTTCACTGGTTTGATCTCATATGTTTCGCAACAGTCTTTCTCTTTCTCTCTCTGTATCTCGTAATTATTTTTTCTTTTATAGCTTCTCTGATGATCCCTTCGATAAAGCTTTTTAAAACAAATAATATAAAGAAGTAGTTTATATCGCTTGCTCACCCATGTATCTCTCTCTGTCTGTCTGTCTGTTTTATGGAATTGAATGAAATAGTTCGAATCTTCATTTTCTCTTCTAGCAAAATGTCATTGTGAAGAAAATCAAAAGATGGCCAAAATGAATTTATGCAGTCGGATGAGATGAGATGGAGTTTCTGTCACTGATGGCTGTTGGAGAAGCAGTAAACTGTGGGAGAACTTCGATCAGCTTATCAATCCTCAGTTCATGTGGAACTATCTGTTTATCTCTCACTTCTATTTTTCTCTTCCCAGGAGCATGTTCTGTTACTAAAGCTGCTACATCAAGGCTTCTTTGATCAGAAGACATACTGTCTGGAAAGGATTATTACATCAACAAGCATTGATTGCAGAATGAAGAAGAAGAACGAAAGAACAACAAGCAACATTGATAATACTTATTAAGCATTTGCCAAATATGACAGATTCTCGGGATAATATGCAAAATAGATGACGACGACGAGCATGTAGATGAAGACAACGACGACCAAGTAGATGAAAGCTAAGAAGATCAAAACGAACAGAATGCTTTGCTGCTGCTGCTGCTACTACTGCAACAACAAACGATGCTTTGCAACTTTCAATTGATCAATTCGCCTTATCAATATGATTTTACATTTCATGTTCGTCTGTCTGATGCTCTCTCCAATTAATTATTACATTTCATACTATTTTGCTTCTCCCATTAGTAAGTTGATGGCATCCGGGCTAAACGGACATGTCGCCTCTCAGTCTCTCCGTCTTTCCAACAAGTCACTCGAACAGCAAAAATGGCCGAAAGTCCAGAAATTCGTGTTTTCTGCCAATTTTCCGTTTTTTCACATTGAAATATAAAACAAAACAAAAACAACAAAAAGTTCTCTATATAGTTAGAATGAAAGATCAAAGCAGAGTTATCTATGAGAGAAGTACTCTTTCATCTTGTCTCCATGAACGTTGTCGTTCTCGTTCTCGCATCAAGCGAGCACATGTGTTATGGCGTTGAGTTCACACCCTTCTTCATCACCGCATCATCTCAGTTGATAAGCTTCTGATGAACATTAAAAAGAAATTTTGGAAATGAGAAGCTAAAAATGGATTAAAAAAGATTATTTTGAACATTTTCCTTTCTTCTGTTTTTCATTGGAAGAGTAATGGACAGATGAAGGGAGAGAAAGAGAAAGAGAGAGAAAGAGAGAGAGAGAGACAGAGAGAGAGAATGATGATTGGCAACAACTTCTTCCTTATTTGTACGTTCCAAATGAAGACAGAGAAAATAGAAATAATCTTTGAGAACGGAAAGTTCTATTCGTTTAGTTAATCATTCGTATCTTCATATCCCAATCCATCATCCATTCATCTCACATCACATCATCCTTACTTCGTACTCTTCTCGTACCTTAGTAATGCACGTTTCATAAACTTCCTCAATCGTCATTCATCCATCTATTTGTTTCGTTTTCACTTCATTCAAACCTTATTGTTGCTCACACAAGAGAGCCTTCTCCTTGCTCACTGCTCTACTCCCCTCTCCTTCCTTCTCCTCCTGTGCTCCTTCAGATGCAGATTTTCGACGTCAACTGAATGATTAACAACTTAATTCTTCAACCTTTTGCTTTTTTTGAAACAAAAAAAAAAAGGAAAATTGATTAAACGCCAAGAGATCGACGAAAATAAAGAAACAACTCATCGTTAATTCATTCATTCAGCTGTTTGTAACTGCTTTCCTCCCGAGATCTACTCAGCCATTATCACATCTCCTTTCCCTCCAGAGCTTTTCCCTTTAAAGCTTCACTTCTTCTCTCTCCATTTTTATATCTGTCTATCTTGGTTGCTCTCTTATTCCTCCCATCTCTCTCTATCTCTCTCTCTCTTTAGTCATCTTTCCCTCCTTTGCAGAAAGAGAGATAATAATTTGAAATAACAAGGTATTTCATGTTCTTGACGATCATCCAGATTCTTCGTCTTCTGATTGTAAAAGATCCTTAGCTGTCCTTTTCCTTTTCCATGAACGACCAACAATCTTCTTCAATAACAGAAATTCGAAGACGATCAAGTTGAGAAAAGTAAAATTTCAACTCGAAATTCGACTCAAATTGACTTCATTACCAAGTGCTTTTTCCTCAAAAAAGGCAAATTTGGCCAAACGTTCTCAATGCTCATTGTCTTTCGTGTTCTCCTTCGTCCATAACACAACTTCTATTTCACACACACACACACACACATCTACACACACATCTACATCTACATCTACATAGACAGACACTTCCATACTCACATACATGCATAGAGAGAGATAGAGAGAGAGAGAGACATGTACATGAAAGTACAAAAAACCAAACAATTTTGTTTGAAAAAACAAAAAGCGAGAAAAAAGAGAAAGAAAAGAAGGTTTTTGCCATGTTATCAGAGAACAGTCGTTTATCTATAAATAGCTTCAGCAGGTACTGTAACTGGCAGGTCGTTCAACTCACATAGTAACACACAGATTGCAACAGAGAGAGGGGAGAGAGAGAGGGGAGAGAGAGAGTGAAAGCTTGAACATCCGACAACGCAACAAACGACAGCTCGTCTTGATCACAAACGAAAGTGATTGTTGTTGTTGTTTAGTTGTTGTGTGTTTCGTGTGTCCATCAGCAGTAGCATCAGCCATCTACGGACTACCCAAACGAATGATTTTCCCTCTCAATCTCTCTCTCTCTCTCCCTCCTTATATCTCATTTTCCCACTTTAATCCCGTGTTTTTCAATAAAAAAGAGAAAAAAAATAATTTTTTTCTTCCTTGGTCTTTCCTTTTGTCCTTTTTTGTCTGAAAAAGAAAAGGTTTTCATTTATATCTCTCTCTCTCTTCATGTTATTCATTTTACCTTCCAAACTCCTTTTCTCGAGTATTCGCTTCTTGTTTTCTTCGTTTATTTCAATGTTTTTCTTGGACATTTGAGCTTTTCCCTCCTTCCTTCTCTCTCTCTCTTTCTCTCTGAATGATCTCATCAACACATCCCATCTCCCTCCCTCTCTCTCTCTACTCTCTCTACTCTCTCTATCATGATCAGTTTGAACTTTTTTTAATTTTTCGCGAAACACACAAAAAAACTTCTGATTCGCTCTATATGTTGAAGCCACCACATCATCCGCCATTCATCTGCAATGGCCACACATGGCTAGACACCGCAGTTGTCGCATAGTCTCGCGCATCATCTCATCGCTCCCTCCCTCCTTCCTCGTCACTCAATTCACTCCAATCACAGACAGCTTTTCATTTCATAGTGTTCACACTACTCACAAATGTTTTTTTTATTTGGTTTTTTTGTTTATTTTCAATTTTGGAATATTATCCATCCATCACATATATGAGATAAATACCTTGTAAGGAAAATATCTCATGAATATCTGAATAGTTGTTGAGCTCTTCATATTCCAACAGAGCTTTCTCATCCCATATATGTCCTCCTCATCCTTCTCTCCCCCCCCCCCTCCACCATCCATATGAATATACATTATCATTTACAGATACAACAATTTACTTTCTACATTGCTTCTTCATATCCAATAGATACAGTGTGAGAGGAGTGTTAGAGTGGGTGTGAGAAAGAGAGAGCAGAGAGATAGAGAGGATGAGATAGAAAGCTGATTTGAAAGAGGGAGGAAAAAATTATGTTTTTTTTTCTTGCAAACCAGAAAAAGGCTCTCAAACGAAATTTACATCGTCACTTGAGCTTTTCCAAAAAAACTTTTTTTCATCAAAAATCGTATAAGCTGACGACAGCGACTGTTTATTCTTCAACATTGTCTCCTTCAATAAGGTTTGTGTTAGAAGAGCAGAAACATGGACAGAAAAAAGCTTTTCTCATCTGTCTCTCTCTCTTAGTCTCTCCTTCCTCTCACTCTCTCTATATGAGATGTGGACATTCATTCACTTTTTGTATTCTACTCATTACATTTCCATATTTGAAGATGTTAAATCGTCTTCAATCTGCGCGCAAGACATTTAGAGTCTTAAAGAATGCAACCGTCATGTGTCCATGAAATATTCACAAATGAACTTTC